GGAATTTGTTAGTACGTTATTAACTCTTAAGTTTTAAATTGTTTTAAATTTATTTCTGACCTATGACAATCCGTTTATTTCCGATTTTCAATGTTTTTATGTCGTAAAATAATGAACAATGTATTTACCTTACATATATATATTTGATCTATTCCATTTCTAACACCTTTATTATCTACCGTTTATTTATTTAAGTTACTGTATTCTGTCTGTAAAGATTGTATTAGTGCCCAGGCCCTGATAATTTCCTTTTAATTTCCAATGTAGTTCTATTAAAATCGTTAGAAATGCATTTTTATTATGCATATAAAAGTTGTATTCCCTCAGTAATATTTGCAATAGACTCTGACAACTGATAATATCTTTCTTCTTGATTTTCAATGCATTTCTATAGACAATCATTAGTAATGCCTGTATTATACATATAACGACAGTATTCTATCAATAATAACAGACTTAATCATTGACCAATGAAAATCATTGTTTATCCACATTTCCAATTTACTTTATACTGAATAAATGCCGAAACATATAGTGAAATTTGCGTAAAGGAAAAATGGTAAAATTCAATAATAAACAAAGTTCACTTTTAAGTGTAAATGTTACCATGATGATTTGAATTCATTTATAAATCTGTGAACGACATTTACCATTAAACAAAAACAAGAAAACAACTCTAATCAAGTGTGGGCTATTACAAATTCTTCTGTGAGTAGGGTTGGAAAAAGTAACTTTTCTACCTTTTAAACACGACCCTGAAATTATTTTTAAAAAATTATTTCACCCCGAGCAAGGCAATAAAGATATTAAGACGCAAGAGGTTACAGAGTGTGAAAAAATATGAGCAAAAGAAAAAACGCTATTAAGGAGAGAGAATAATGAAAGAAAAAGAATTAAGAAGACAGAAAATAGCGATTGGCATTGCATTTAAATTTTGGAAGATCAAAGTTGACTGGGAGGCAAGAAGGCAGGAGCGAATTTCACGTGCGAGAAGTCCGAGAGAAGAAACTGTTAGCATGCTATTTACGGTTACATCTCACCGTTTCAACTGTAAAATGATTAGACTTAATGGCCAATCTAGTACTGCGCTTAAATTTGTTAAGTCGTGATATCAAAGCTCATCAGGACAAATGCCATGAAAATATTCAGAGAAAAAAGAAAGCATAGTTATTTGCATTATTTTGAAATAAATTTTCCAATTGAACACCGACAAATATTAAATGATCAATTTTATTCTGCATTAGGTGCATGTAGCGAAACGGTTATCGACGCGTAAAATGGAACCGGCGAGCAGTGTTCAAATTCTGGCCTTGTATGTTGTACTCACTTTAGCACTTTGAAAAGGCATGAAACCATTTCTTCTCTTCTCCAGCTGTGGGTTAAAAAGTAGAACGAACTAGGTTCTCTAGCCATGGACGACAGTTAACCTTGGAGAAAGAAAACTTGGAATCACACCCGGGGAGAAAGCAATGGGTAACCATTCCATTTTCTTTTCCAAGAAGTCCTGGAAATTTACAGATGAAAAAGAAATGCAATCTATAGAAAGCCATGATTGTCTACGTCCTGAATAGTTAAGAAATATTTTGTAAATATTAATACCTCCTTTAATCATCATAGAGAACCAATTGTTCCTACCATCAATATGGCTGATGCTAGCCTCCAAGAGGGATATTCATTGCGCCTTCTTGGCCTAACGTTTTCTACTGCTGTTGTTAAAAAGTTTGGTTCACTGTGTTCACTAGACAGTTTTTCTCTTCAGAAGCCATCTTGCATATTTATAAATCTACTATTAGTGCGTGCCTGGAATATTACTGTCATATCACGTTTGATGCTCTGGCTATATATATATATATATATATATATATATATATATCGAGATGTGTCTGTAATGTAATGGGTCTTGACTTCAGTCACTTTCCCACTGCTGTCACGTGTCTTCCCTCTGTCTTTTCCACAAATGGTGACTTTGTAAGTTCTCCAAGTTAAATTTAGATACCAAGTTGAGAGCGTAGATACCAAGTTATGATTTCAAAGTTTGATTTTGCGAAAGTGGCAACGTGTGGAAGGGTCAATTTATGGAATAATCAAAGTATGGAAGGGTCAAAGTGTGAAAGGGTCAATTTATGGAATAGTCAAATTATGGAAGGGTTAAAGTGTGGAAGGGTCAATTTGTGGAAGGGTCAGAGTGTGGAAAGATCAATTTGTGGAATAGTCAAAGTATGGAAAGGTCAAAGTATGGAAGGGTCAAAATGTGAAAGGGTCAATTTGTGTAATAGTCAAAGTATGGAATTATATACAATGAATAATAATTAATTTTTAATGTGTTTCTATTTGAACTACACTTTGCTTTTTTCTGCTTGAATCACATATGTGTTTGCTTCTTTTTCATAGTGAAAAAAGTGAAGGTGGAACGCGACACGTAAAAAGACGACGGCGTCGCGCTGATGGTACGTACAGTGCTTCAGAGTCGTACCACAGCGATGACAGTGGTCTCGAAGGGGGCCGTCTTCAGCAAAGGCGTGACAAGGAGAGGCGAAGGCGGCGTCAGAAGAGACATGGCAGCGATAGTGATCACAGTTATTTTAGTGAGGTCAGCAATGGTGGCACACGTCATACCCGACGAAGGAGGCGAGTGAAGGACAAGCACGGTAATGTCATTGGACACGGGAATGCTGAAGATTATTGCAGCTCGGGTAAGTAATAGTATCTTCTTCTTTGTGCCGTGTCCCTTCAGGACGTTGGTGATCATGGCTCTCCACAATTTCCTGTCCTTTGTAGCTGTTAATAAATTTTGTCTTTTTGTTAATTCTCCTAAACCTTGCTTCAACATCCATTTACACAAGCTCATTCTTTTTCTTCTATGTGCCATGTACCATCAGGGCATGTGCGGTCATGGCTCTCCACAATTTCCTGTTCTTTGTAGCTCTTAAAAAAGTTTTCTTTTTTGCGATGTCTCCTAATCCCTGTCTTGCAAGGAATTACAAAAACTCGTTAGTTAGGTTATGCGCTGTTTTCCTCTGTCCCTCTTGCCTTCCATATATGCGGTGAGTATCGAATACTCTAAGCCCTCTTTCCTCATTATGTCCTCTAAAAAATCTCATTTTGATACTACCTGTAAGTGTCGTTTACCATGATCATTACCACTGAAATTAACGTGATAAAGAAAATACGACAGAATTCCTACAGAAGGTAGTGAATGAAAAAGAGAAGAAAGGACCAAACATCAATTGCAAGACGACAGAATGCATGTTTGTCAAAATGAAATAAAATAAAAATAAAAATAAAATAAAAACAGCCCAACATGCAAATTCCGAATTGGAGATATTAAAATCAAAGAACTACAACAATTTAAAAACCTGCGAAGTATTTTATCAGAGGATGGAAAGTGTGACACTGAACTCCAAAGGTGTATTGGTATAGTGAAAGATGCCTTCAAAAAGCTAAGCAAAGTATTAATAAATAGAAATGTTTTGTTAGAAACAACGAAAAGTGTACTGAATTGTTATGTAATACCGTTCCTACTATATGACAGCGAATGCTGGACCGTCTTCTCATAGATGAAGAAAAGACTTGAGGCAAGTGACGTATGGTTCTACAGAATGATGCTAAGAATACCATGGACTGAACGTTTGATCATCGATGGTGTTTTAAAGAAAATGGAAACCAAAAAATCATTTATAGTAAGAATCAAAAAGAGATAGTTGAAATTTCTTGGGCACATAATGAGGAAAGATGGCATGGAAAATTTGTCACACACAGGACATATTAGTTTGGCTTGTTTTGTTTTACAGTATATCAACCTCAATGGGTTATTTAATACCGACAAGATTTTTATTGCTCGTAATATGTTTTTCCAAAATGTATTGCTCGTAATATTTTTTCCTTCAAAAATTAATTGCTGGTAATATTTTTACAGAAATGTATTGCTGGAATTAAAAGCTATTTTTTACACGTCTTGACCTCCCCGTTTCGGGGTTAACTATTTGTCCATAGCTGGGACCCTAACAGATGTTACCACCCCGGCAGGGGCATTTAAGAGGCGGTTCCACACTACTCAAAACCTCTTGATCAGAGGCCTTGCTGCTGGATGTAGTTTATCGTCATACCCAGAACAGTAGGATCTATTGTTGGCAAGAGGTACAGAGGAAAAACAATGCATGAGTTACCTGAAGAGCTTGTTAAATGGTGGTTTTCTCAGACCGGCTTAGATGTGGCACAAGGCCGAAAGTATGGAGCACCCAGTGAGAATTGAACTCACTAATCAGTCGTAATTGATCTAGCAAGACAAGCTTTCTAACCATTACACCACGTCGAGGTGCCCAGAGCTTGTGTAAATGGACGACAGAACAGGGATTAGGAAAGATGACAAAAAAAGACAAAATTTAATAAGAGCTACAAAGGACAGGAAATTGTGGAGAGACATGATCGCCAACGTCCTAAAGCAACACGGCACATAGAAGAAAAATGTGCCGACCATTTTTGTTGTGTCACACATCAGTGTCATTACTTCTGTCTTAATTTATTTGTTTGAAAATCGTTATAATTATGGATTTTTAAAAAATTACAACTCTGGTTTGATGCAAGCTGCAATGGCTACTAATGTTAATCAGTTTTACTGATAAAAAATAAAATAAAACAATTGTCTGATAAATCGTTTCTACATTTACGTCGAGGCATTATTTACCTGTTTGCCGAACGTCATGACATATCGTCTGCTGTCATGAACACAAAGTTTAAGCTTCTCACTTTACGCCCTCTAGTGGTTGTGTTTTATTAATTCCAGGGACTGTAATCTAATCACTGTTAATGCCCTTTTGAAATTGCCCTCAATTAGGTCAGAGTAAACACTCTATCTCCGTAGCCATTCATACTCTTAGATATGCAAGTTTACGGCCGTATCACGTTGAAACATCGGTTCTCGTCCGGTCATCGATGTTAAGCAACGTTGAACCTCGATGGGTGACCGCTCGAGAAGACCAGGTACTGTAAACTTGGATGTGCGGGGGTGTAGTGGACAACGCCTCGGAATGAGAGCTGGGTTCGATACCAGTCGTATTCGTTATATTCACTTACATGCACACAACCTTGGGAAAGGTATGAATACATTTCTTCCCCCAGTTATGGATTAAATAGTAGGTCTAGTATCAGAAGATCATTATTATCTACAACAAATTCTTACGATAAACAAAATATATTTCGGCTTTAAATAACCTTAAAAAAGAAAGATAATCCATAAAAAATATCAATTTTTGATCTGCAATATTTGGTAAGAAGGAAACATAGTATTTTTTAAAAATGATACTGTTTTATTTTTCATTGTTTAGCAAGTTTGAAAATTGTGAGCCCTTCAGTGTAGTCAGCAAGTTAGACTGACCATTGTTCTATAGATGTGTTTGTAATGTAATGGCGTAAATGGCATCGGCATGGCGAGTTCAAATTCTAGGCTCATCTGTTGCATTTACTTTCGCTCTAATGCATTTGGAAAAATATGTACTCAGCTCTTCTCTCCCTCAACCCCTGAAGCGGTAGCATAATTTTCATAACAATTCTTAAAAGCATATTTTAATAAATATTTCATCTGTATTATCTATTTTAAAAAGTTTTTATTTGTTAGATATAAGTAATGTTTCGGTCAATAGAGTTTTTTTTTCTTCGCGTTTGTATAAAAAGGATTTATATCTACTTTGTCAAAACTCAGTCGTAAATTAGCAACACAAAACGTGCTTATATTTAAAGAAAATGAGAATAAATATATTTATTTTATTTTTATTTTCGGTAAGAGGACCTAAATAATATGAAGTAATTAAATAATTAAGTAATTTAAAGTGATATTAACATTTTACAGAATTCTATAATTTTAGGTATAGCAACATTACGATTTTATGTCCTTCGGCATTCGTAATAACCATTGTTGTCGTCTGCCATTTCTCCTCACTATATATTGGTCAAGAGGAGCCGAAAACAAATTACAGAATTATCTAAATAAAAATAATTTGTTTAATTAAATTTTCTTAAAAATGTATTCAGTTTACTGAATTTATTATTATTAGAAAAGTAAAATAACATCGTTTATTGAATTATTTAGAATTGTTACGAATAAAAATGTTCGTAAGACGGGTATTCGGCTAGTAATAATAATAAGATAGTTTTAATCCTTTATACCAATTTTGTACAATTATACTTTTTCATTGCATTTAATCTTAAACTTCTTTTTTTTTTTTTATCTCTTGCAGATTCCAGTATCAGGTACGGACGTTTTTCTTGTCAGGAAAACGAGCAAAAATAAGGACTACTTTGGTGTTTCGCCACAAACGGATTTTACAAGTACAAAATTTAGTCTCAGAAAAAAATTGGAAAAACTTCATCATATCACATCAATAACTTTCGACACACTCTCGTCTTAGTAAAATACTTTAGAAAGTGCGTTAATCGTGACAGAGTAAAATTGCGTCAAGGATTTTACAATATTTCACTTTTCTTGGCATATCTTTTTACCAACACAAAGGACGATACTAAATAAGCTAAAGCGATAAAAATATAAAGAAAATGAAACTAAATGTGCGGATTTGATAATTACATCAATATAATAATATATAATAATAATAATAATAATAATAATATAATAATAATAATAATAATAATATAATTACATCAAATATAAATGTCACCTTAGTTCGATGAAATCCTAAACGACAAAACACAACACCAAAAAACATTTTCAACGTGATCATATATATATATATATATATATATATATATATATATATATATATATATATGCGTGTGTGTGTTTGTCTTTCATTGAAATTGGCCAAGGAATATTTAATTAATCTTTTATTGATTTTTTTCCAGTAATCTTTTTCCATTTTTCAGGGATTAAAGAATATAGTAAATGTCCATAGTTATAATTGTTCCGAGCGCTTTCGGCTACTTCTCTAGCCATTATCATCGATGTGTTTTTGAATGGTGAAATTATGTGTGTAGCTGTTACATAGTAATTTTAATTGGTGGTCTCGTGCTATGCGTAGCCAGTTGACCAGGGCAAGAGTTGTATTTTTAGAACACTTTTATCTCCACACTGTAAAAATTACCATGTAGCAGCCACATATGAACACTTCGTATATTCTTTAACCCCTGAAAAATGGGAAAATGTTGGATTGCTGGAAAAATTAAATCTTCCTTTGTAAGCCGTTTTCAAAAGAAAGATGCATGAAAGATGCCAAAATACACATCAATTATATATATATATATATATATATATATATATATATATATATATATATATATATATATATATATATAAATATATATATATATATAACACAGAGAAATGCAACTCTCTAGGGAGTATACTAGAATGACAAACTGGAAAAAGTGCTCAGTACTGCAATGGCAGAGCATTTGTATTAAATTTATCATCCAATAATCCGGCGTACATATGATTAAGGGCGACTGTTAGTTTCGTGTACTCTACTGTAAGAAGCCATCATATATATATATATATATATATATATATATATATATATATATATATGTGTGTGTGTGTGTGTGTGTGTGCGTGTGTGTGTGTAAGCAAATATATGGATATAGATCCGACAGTATGAAGTATATACGGAAAAAAAACAAACAAAAATCCTAATATGCAATTATGCTGTTTTAATGTTAATATAATGTCAACGTCGGACGTTTCGGTCTAGTTTCATTTTTCATTCAAAATATTTTAGGAATAGGTTTTCACAACATCGCCCACGTGACGCCGACGTGATCATATTGTGAAACGGAACGCTGATCTTGAAAAATTTCAGTTGTCTGTTTTGATTAGTCTTACTCTTATGTCCATTGTCTTTTCATGTTGAATTAAATATAGTCTAATGTTAATTATGTTTTATGAATATGTCCTGAAGATGGTCTACTAGACCGAAACCTTAAGGAATATAAATGAAAGATTATATGAACATAAAAGGGACATTTTACAAAATAATACATCAAATGCATTGGTTAGCCACCGTAACGAGACTGACCACAACTTTGTCATAAATAATGCTAATCTCATCAAAGGAGAAAATAATTCACTACGACGTAAATGTCTAGAGAGTGCCTTAATCGCAAGGTCACCTACAGTAAATTTGCGTCCTGGCTCTTAAAATATTTCACCATTCATGGAAGATCCAATATCACAACACTTACAATTACTTACAAAAGTGATGGAAAGAAAAATGAAAAACTCTAAATGAATTCGGGTAGATAAAAAAAATGAAAATTTTCTAAAATTCCCAGCACCCCTCTGCCGTGCGCATGTATAGTGTGAGTGAGTGAGTGAGTGAGTGAGTGAGTGAGTGAGTGAGTGAGTGTGTGTGTGTGTGTGCGTGTGTGAGTGAGTGTGTGTGTGTGTGTGCGTGTGTGAGTGAGTGAGTGTGAATGTGTGTGTGTTTTAGTTAAATATGTACTCAGAGTCGCATGGATTTTACCATCCAATATTCAGCAGATTTTGGGGTGAACTAAATTTATTTTTCTCTATTGAAAACATAAGTGACAATTAAATTTCTCGGTACATAATGAGTAAAGAGGACTTGAAAAATTTGACACCTCACATGAGATTGATTGATTAATCTATTTCTTACCGCTTATCAACCTTTTACAGGCTATTTAAAGCCAGAAAATATTTTTAGAGTGTAAGAATTTTTTTTGAAATTTAGTGCTACAAGTCTTATCAGAGCTTGAGTAAATGGATGGCAGAGCAAGGCTTAGAAGAGATTATAAAAAAATAAAATTTATTAAGAGATATAAAGGAAAGGAAATTGTAGAGAGCCATGATCGTCAACGTCCCGAAGGAACACGGCACATAGAAGAAAAATGATCTTGTGTAAATGGATGTTGGAACAAGGTTTAGGAGAAGTGAAAAAAGACAAAATTTACTAAGAGATAAAAAAGAGGAAATTGTGGAGAGCCATTTATTTTTTAATCTCTCCTAAACCCTATTTTTCAATCTATCCATCTACTTAAGCTCGTTCTTATTCTATGTACCGTGTCCCTTCAGGACGTTGCTTGTTTTTATTAATAACCCTAACAGCAACAACGAAAACAATTAGGGGGTCTAATTGTTGTAACCTAGGGAAGGTTACTGAATAGAATAATCACACGAAGGTTAGTAATGAACGATAATACTTAGGACAAGAACAACACATATAAGATGCGCCAGTGGCGCGTAGAAGTAGTAGTCAACTGCGAGCAGTGAGTCAAGTGAATTCTACAATGAATCTCCAACTGCAGGATATGTACCAATCGCCCCACGCGGTCAGATGTGGCACAAGGCCGAATTTAATTTGGGGTATCGGAGCACGTAGGCTCAGCCAATAATTCCCCGTATAAAACGGGGTCGGGTAACTGTTTCCCGAGACGAAACTCTGCCCTTCGACATAGCCTTATCTGGGGATCCTCTTTGCCCGCAGGCAGAGAGTTTGACCAGCACAGCTGCAGACGAATCTCCAACTACAGGATATCTACCAATCGCCCCACGCGGTCAGATGTGGCACAAGGCCAAATTTAATGTACTCATGCTCAGCCAAAATAATAAAAAAAAAGAAAACCCGTAGACTCCGTATAAAATAGGGTCGGGTAGCTGATTCCTGAGACGAGACTCTGCCCTTCAACATAGCCTCGTCTGGGAATACTCTCTGCCCAGAGGCAGAAAGTTTGGCTAGCACAGCTCTAGACGAATCTCCGATTGCAGACCAAGATACAGTATTTATTACTGTATTTATATGAATGAGGACATACCCATTATCGTCCGTAGGTCTGCTACAACACTAACAGAGTAAGAAAAACCACTGGCACACGAGTAAAATATAAGAATTGTCTTCTGGCAATTTGGAAACCAATTTAATTTGTATAAATTTATTTATAGAAAAAAAAACATTGTTTTTACCAACGATTGATCTATATTTAATATGAAAAACAAGGTTTCCATTCATATATCTCGATATGACGTTTTTCTTATAAAATCGTGTTACCTTTTAAGCATACAGAACACGCTTCAACAGCTTTCACTGCATGCCGACACGATCAAGTAATGTAATGCAACGTGAGGCGATCATTGACCGGTCGGTGGAAAATTTGAGCAGTAGTCGCGGTGTATGTTTACAGTAGAACCTCATCTGTGTTGCTTCATGTCTTTTCTTTAGCAGTGAAGTGATTGTCCAGCATTCTCTGCCATTTAGGAAATTAAATATTATATAAACCAGATCAGACCGAAGATGGAGTGTTGCTACCATATCTGGACTTGGTCGGCTCAATTCCCATTTTCCAGTCTGGACCAAGTTTAAAATCTTTTACGCGGCCATGTGGGCGTTGGATTATTTTTCAACCCTACAATCTCTTTCCCACAGACGAATCTTCGCAAGTTTCCTCCGACTCTATTGCTATTTCCATGGTTGGTTTAGACCCTGGCATCTAAGACCCGCCAAAAGGTTGGTTTAGACCCTGACATCTAAGACCCGCCAAAAGGTTGGTTTTGACCCTGACATCTAAGACCCGCCAAAAATAACAAACAAAAGGATGACTCATCTTCATTCCCTTCGTATTCCATTATTAAGGAGGAAGTTTAACTTTAAATTTCTACCCGGGAACAGACACCCGAGAGGATGATTCCTCGATTACAAAGATTTTAACAGCTTAAAGTCTAGTGTTAATTTATATCTATTCCTACATATCTTAATAGCGATTTCCTAAGCATAGCTGAGTTGTGGCACAAGGCCAAAAGTATAGAGCGCCCAATGAAATCAAACTCACTACTAAGTCGTAATTGATCTAGCGAGACAATCTTTCTATTACACCACGTCGAAGTGCCCGAATGAGTTAAAGAATACTATAGCGATTTACTAAGCGTAACTGAGGTGTGGCACAAGGCAGATCTAGTGAGACAAGCTTGTTAACCATCACCACGTCGAAGTATCCATCATTCATATCCTCATGATCTCTATCTACTTCCACCTCGTATGTTCATATCACTTACCTCATTCTGTAACCCTCTCCCTTGAATGCCTCTTCAGTCTTATATTGGGTAAATACCTCGGTACCTTCAAATCTTTTCTTTACTTGTGAGGAAATTGTTTAAAATTTACCGCCATCGCAGTATAGAATCATTTCTTTCATTTTTAATTAGATTTTTGGAAGTTGCAAAGATTCGATTCTACTAATGTCTGTTTATTTATTTATTTGTCAGTCGATACACGACGGTTTCCGATGGGAAGGGCGGCAAAAAACGAGTAAAAGTGAGCAAATCGAAAACCACCAAAGATCGCCAACGAGGACTCGACAACGTGGCTGACTTTAGCGACGCTTCTTCTGATTCCGACGACGTCGACCTGGATAAGATGACCGACGAGGAGAGAAAGGAATATCTCAGTCGAAAAGCGGCCAGAAAAGCCGAACGGCAGATGAGGAGGCGAGAAAAATATGGCGACAAATATGAAGAGATGCTGGCAAAACACGAAAAGTGAGTAGCTCAGTGATCTTTTTTTAAAAGAGCTTCCTCAAATATGATGCTTGTTAAGTTGGTGAGTTTTATGTGAAAACAGTTGCCCTGTTAGAGGAGGGGGCGTTGATTGAAGGATTGATTTGTTTATTACGGTTTAATATAGCCGTAAAAACCAAATCAATCACTACATCCGGCAGCAAGGCCTCCGATCAGGAGTTTTTGAGGAGCATGGAACCACCTCTTAATTGCTGATGTTTCCAGGTACCCCCTGACACGGGGTGGTAGCACCTGTTAGGGTTCTAACTATGGGCAAATAGTTATCCCCGCCAAATTGGGTCATGAAACTATAAGAATACATTTTTATAGTAAAAGTACCAGCAATACATTTTTGTAAAAGGAATTATTAATACTCCCAAGAAAATTAAATTTCGACATTAAATGACCCATAAAGGAGTTGATATGCCGTTAAACAAACAAATAAACCAAATCAATCAATCAATATACGCCCCTCTAACAGAGCAACTGTTAAATATGGCTGTAAACCAGACCGGTGCTTAGAATACACAGAGACTGAACCTCCTGAAATGGGGTAAGATTTTTTCACAAACCAGCCATATTCCGGGTGGATATTTGTAAGTTGGGATTTAAACCGAACCTGTGTCTACCTTTCTGCAGGTTATTTAAAGCCAGGAAATATTTTTAGATTGTAAGAATATTTTGACAATAACAATAATTTGATTTTTTTGTGACCGAGAATAGGTGGTGGTGGGGGGAGGAAGAAGAGGCCTATTCATCCCTTTGCCAAGGGTATTTTTGCGTAAATGAATAGAACGAACCTGACTGGAATTTGAACTCGACTCTCCGATTTCCAATTCCGAGCCTTTATCCATTATATCCCCCGGACATTTCAGCTTACAGCACCTGTTATTCCCAAACGGTTACCCATCTAGATACTGACCAGGCTTAATGTTGCCTAACTTTGCCGATCATACGAGATTCGGGGTTTCAACATGATATGGCTGTAAACCTGACGGGGCTTAGAATACACAAAGACTGCATCCCCTGAAGAGGGGTAAGATACCTTCACAAACCGGTCACCTTCCGGGTGAATATTTGTAGGCTGAGATGTAAACCAAAAATATATTTACTTTTTTGACTCTAGTATAAAGCAGACCAATGCCAACCATTTGATAATTGTGAATATCTGTTCGAAGTCACAAGAGAATTTGAGCGTATTGGCCTCGTTCAAATTGCTGATCAAACAATATGGTGGGCCTTCTCCCAGAAACTGTAACTAAGGTTCATTCAGTATAGCTACAGTAAACAAAAGGTGGGCTTCGTGGGTGCTGGACAAACATAAAGGGATTGGCTAGCCGCCTTATCAGACATGTGTGTTTTGAAACTATTGATTAGCCATTACATAAACCGGACTTATGTCTTCCTTTGTGATTCCAATGTAAACCGGACCTATGTCGCCCTTCTTGATTCTAGTGCAAAGCTGAACCTATGTCCACTTTTTTAATCTAGTGTGAGTCGAATTTATACCACGTTTACTTTAGACATTATCACTGTTTAAACAGTACCAATGTCTACCTATTTATTAATTCTTTGTGAGTTTTTGTCCAAAAAGACTTTTATTTGGTATTAAATAACTAATTTACAAAAATGTTTGCAAAAAATGTCTCACCCATACATGCATAATTTAAGAATTAAAAAATGTCTCAGACTTTTTTTTAATCATTTCACCCCAAGCAAGGCGATAATGGCACTAAGACGCTGAGGATTCCAGGGAGTGAAAGAGAATGAGAAGACTTTAATGGGTAGGAGTGAGAAGAAAAGGCAATGAAGGAAAGGTGTTCACATGAGGATTGACGTTGTATTTTAGGTGGCAGGGAAACAAGAAATTTGCAGGGAGTTCTACAGGCGAAAAGTGAAAAGAAAATCAATTATTAGAATAAAAACATATGGTTGCATCTTGATGGTTCAACAGTAAAACGGTAAGACTTAGTTGCCAATAAGGAGAAAAGCTGATCAATTATGATGCCATGAAAATATTTGTAGAAAAGACAGAGGGAAGCCACGTTACATCGGTGAGAAAGTGAATGAAGTCAAGATGCCAAGTCAGACTGTAAAAAGAATACACTCGATGCAATTTCCGTTCCTTACAAGAGGTTTGACCATAATCTAATCTGAAAGAATGAGTTTTTAGTTTAAAGAGAAAGGTGAAAATGTATTGAAAGTGCCTTAATTTCAGAACACTTTACGGTGAACAGACGTCTAGGATCATGCAGCGTATATCTCTTCTTCAGATAATCCTAATACAGTGTGGGATAATTAAAAACGAAAACAAAAATAACAAATAAAAGTAATTAAACGCTGAATGAGAGAAGCTAAGTTAATGTCTAGATATATCGAGCGTTGAAATTAAAATTTAAAAGCTGAGAATCTCTTTGTCTTTAACGTTTTGTCGTAAACTTTTGTTTTTGGCTTCTGATGCATTCATCCCACGCTTCACCTCCTTGTTATATGTAAAACCGATTCTATCAATAAAACCGTTATTAGTCTGAAGATTATATCTACTAGGAAACGGGGACAGCGGGAAGAGGCTTGGCACGTGGAATTAGAACAATCTACCCCGGTGGATGAAATAAAGGGTTCGGTCCGAAATTCCAATCACCAGAAGAAGGCCGGAGCGTACAACAGCCGAAACATTGTGAACATGGCAATGAAGATGAGGATAACAGTCCGAATCATGTAAATAATACAAGTGATCATAATACCTCATCTCAGAGATATAGACAGATAGTCTGAAGATGTCCCTTCTCGGAAAGAAACACACCACAAAGATGATTTTCTATCTTGTTATTCATTTCTTCTTCTCTATGTGCCAGGCCACCACAGGACGTAGGCGATCATGACTCTCCACAATTTCCTGTCCTTCGTAGCTCTTAATAAATTTCTTTTGTTATTTTTCCTAAACCCTGTTCCACCATCCACTTATTCAAGCTGAGTATGCTATGCATTGTTTTTCTCTGTCTCTCTTGCCTTCAATCTGTCCTGTGAGTATCAGATTTTCCAAGCTCTCTTTCCTCATTATGTGCCATATAAATTTCAACTGTCTCTTCCTGATGTTAAGTATAAATTTCGTTTTTGTTCACATTTTCTCTAAAAGCTCCTCGTTGCTCACATGTTCGGTCCAGGTTATCCTCAGTATCCTTCTGTAGAGGCACATTTCTGTTGATTTATGTCTCTTCTTTATATTTGAAGGGATTGTCAAGACTTACCTACATTAAACCCGACAAAAGTTGATATGTCGTTAAATTAACTGCTTGATTTAATCAAAAGGCTCTGGAATAGCAAAAATGCACCCCCCCGCAAAAAAAAAAAACGCTAAACAAAGTATGAAGAAACAGGAAAAATCTCTAGAAAAAAAGTGTTGAAATTTTATGTAATATCAATCGTCCTATGTAACAATAAATGTTGAATTATTTTCTCACAGATTAAGGAGAGACTTGAAGCAACAGAGATGTGGTTCTACAGAAGGATTCTGAGAATACCATGTGAGCAACGAGGACGTTTTAATAAAAATTGAAACAGCAAAACGACACTTATGCTTAGAATCAATAAAAGACAGTAGAACTTTTGGGGAACGAAGGCTTGGAAAATTTAATACCCACAGGACATATTGAAGGCGAGAAGGACAGATGAAAACAGATATTAATCTACCTAACGACCTTGTATAAATGGTTGGCAGGACAAAAACTGGAAGGTTTAATAAGGAGTAAATACTGTTTAGAGTTACAAAGGATAAGAAGTTGTAGAGGGCCATGATCGCTTGCGTCCTGAAGAGACACGGCACAATATAACAGAAAATATAACGTAACGTGTTTAGAACCAGTGTTAAATTATTTGCTACTTTACTGTTAAGCCGTTAGTTACCTAACGTCTCTCTTTTGTAAATTGGCGCCTTCTCTTCAATTTGTTCTTTGCTCACTGTTTTTTAAACTGCTTTTTTAGGAATAAGAGAGAAAGGAAACAACAGCAAAAATACGAAGCAGACAAGCAAAGACGTCAATCTGTTGCAAAGAGCATGGTGACTTACGCGAAAGGATCCAAAAGAGATATTCTGGAACCGATAGAGAAGACAAACACCAGAGGACACGGCATTGGACATGAAAGGTCAGTCTCTTTCCGGACATTTTTTCTGGCTTATGTATTTTTTTAATAATTCCGGTAGAATTTGATAAAACATGTAGCCGCACAAACATGTAGCCACACAACATGTATCTACACAAACATGTAGCCACGCAATACACACTTAATTTTTTAAATTTGTCACATTTTTCACCAAAATAAATTTAAGAAAAACTTTTTTCTTTGGATCGGAGAAAAATATATATCTAAAAAAAATACCCGTTTACTCTTGTTTTGCGAGCACACCAGTCTGCTAGGACGGCTAACCAATCCCTCTTGCTAGCATCTGTTCAGGCACATTTGTGTTTATTCAACAGCCACAGAGCCTGCCTGTGCTTTATACTGCAACTAAGCTGAGCGGACCTTTAAAAATTCTTTATGGCATTCATCTGGCAATAAATTTTAATTTAATTTCGAATTGCTATGGAGTCGACTTCAGTAAAGTTAAAGGCAATAAAATGTTTAGAAGATTTAATTAGAATGCATTGCCACATTTTTTTTTATTAATTAAACGTTAAGTTAATATATATATATATAAACTTTTATTTATTATCATTTCACCCCAAGCAGGACATATAGTTTCTGGGAAAGAACGTATAATCTGTGATGATCAGCAGTTTGAACAAGGCCAGTACGATCAAACCCTCGGTCACGATGGCTAGTGACTTCGTGCTAACAAAACCAACGACGGCCAGTTTCATCTGCTCAAATTGACTAAAAGATTTGGGTCAACCCGTGGTATGGTGTTCAGGCACTTTCTAGATGTGCCGCACGTTGGGATAGGCGATAAGCCCAAGAACTCACTCACGTGACAAATCGAACAGCGTGAGGCAGGCGCGCGCACACGCACACGCACGCACACACACACACACACACACACACACACACACACAGACATATATATATATATATATGAGACCCGGAATGAGACCCATTAGACCCTGGTTCGAATCTCACCATGGTCGATTTGTCAGGAAGAAGACTTCCTGATGTTATCGGACTGGAGGGATCGAACCTCAGCGTGCGACACATTTGGAAAGTATCTGAAAATCATACCACGTGTTGACTAAAGCCTTGTGAGTAAAACAGCGTAGATAGAAACCTTGAGGAGCCGTCGATAGCTGTACTAGCACGAAGTCACAAGTCATCGTGGCCGAGGGCTTGAGCGTGCTGGCCTTGTTCAAATTGTTGATCACGCCAGAAACTGAAAATAAAGTCTGCTCAACATAGTTGCAATATAAGTCACAGGTAGCGTCTGTGCGTGTTGAATAAACACAAATTCCTGAGCAAGCGTCTGCAATAGGGATTGACTAGTGGCCCTAGTAGACGCGCATCCTCGAATACGAGTGGTCAGCTATATATCAACACACACACACACGCACACACACACATATATATATATATATATATATATATATATATATATATATATCTATGTATATATATATATATATATATATATATATATATATATATATATATTCACAAAAATAGTGTTTAATTTTAACATATATATATATATATATATTAAACACTATATATATATATATATATATATATATTAAATTTAGACACTATTTTTGTGAATAGATGTAGTAATTGAGTAGAGCCCTTGTCCTTTTTTTAAATTTATTTTAAACAATACCGGCCAGCGCATTCGAGAGACTATGGATAAATAAAAAAATAATTAGCTTACAATAAACTTTATTTTTAGTGGGCACACATATCCGAGTTGACATTTGTTCTTTAACAATGAAGTTAATATCAGGCGGCCATTGAACAAGAAGAAATATTGAATAAAAATACGGCCCCCGAGAGGAATCGAACCTG